ACAGACAACCTCTCGTCAATATGCGTTTTCTGCATTGCATAGCTGCAAAAAACGCATAAAAAGGAAGGTAAGAAATGAAAATTAGAAAGTTTGAATTTATTATTATTGATAAGAAGTGTTTCGGTCTATTAAGTCATATGCATTTCTTACCATTACCACAATTGGACCTCGACATTATGACGATTGTAGTAATTGAAGTTAATGGAAGTTAAGCCTCGCTTAAGTCCTGCTGAAGATTAAAGGAAAGCCATTTATTACTGTATAATTCATTGCCATTTACTACTGGATAACTCATTTCGGCAGTAAATGATACTGGCATATGCCAGGAAGTTTAAACCGTTTTTAGTTTATTTGTAAGCAACACTCGTCAACAGCTGTCAAGCGAATATTTACTGCTAGCAAGTTTGGGCCACTTCGGAATATCTCTGCTTCTTTCGTAGAGAATAAATCCGAAAATTTTTTGAATTTTTCAACATGAAAGTGATGTGAGTTATTTTTGGGCATAAAAATCGTCAATTTATTCGCGTTTGGTTAGCACACAAAATTAGAAAGCTAGGAAGTTGAAATTTTAAAAAGTGTTCGAGAATCGCTTTTTAAATGTCACTTTCCCCACGAAATGTTCCGGTTTTTCAAAAATACGTGAAAGTGATATGTTTTATACCCATCCTTCTTTTATTTCAAAATACAACGTTTACAGCTTACCGAGTAACTTCGCGAGTTCCACGCCGATAGTTCAGATCGTGTCGGCGTTTTAGGAGAAAAGCGATTCGCCAGTTGTTTATCACCAGTGTTCCTCTCCTCGTAATCTGTTTCAGTAAAAAATTTTAGAGTTTCCTATGGCAAATGCTTCGAGCCCTCACTCACTGCCACACGCATCGTATCATCCATCGTGATGTGAAGCCGCAAAATGTTCTTGTCGAAACATCGGGTATCATCAAATTGGCCGATTTTGGACTGTCACGACCATACAGTATACCATCACGATGCTTTACACATGAGGTTGGTTCAACTTTTTGTTAGATTCTCTTCATACTGCGGATCGCACCAAATCTGTTGTGCCACAGATGCAGAAAGTGTTATTGTGAGCGCTGCTTCATTGAACAATTGAAAGTTTATTCGCTCGACTACTCAATGAATTTATTAAACTCTGAAGGTCAATATACTAGTGGTTTTTACGCACGAACAGAGCCCCCGTTTGCAAAGATGTATACCGAAGAAAACAAATCTCCGCATTTATTATCTCGGTTCTTTGAGTCGTATGATCCATTACACTACTGCCCCTTGTGTTACGTTCCGGACGTTCACCTCATGTCTGTACGTTTTGTGTGCGTGTGTATTTCCCGGATTGCATTTTTCCCCGCTTTTCTGCATTGCATCGATGCAAAAAACACATAATAACTCGGGGAACACCAAAGGCAGGAGGCTGAAATTTTAGGAGAATGCTCCTTGTCGGCATATGGCCTAGTAAAATTTAATTCACACTTAACTTGCGTCTAGGTCACACTTATGCACACGTGAGACTTTTGTTGCCGAAATTAATAACTCGGAAACCAGAAAAGCTAGAAAGCAAAAATTTCAGAATA